ACAAGTTCCCGCACCCAGAACCATTTAATAGAGATCAAACAAAGTACGTAGCGTTTAAATACAAGACTTAAGCTAAGCTCCAGCACGAGTACAAAGGAACTTCGAGCCTCGCTCAGATCGAGTACGTGGTTAGTAGGTGTACAGGCAAGGCAGCGGATGTACTTCTACCCTAGGCAATACAGAACTAGAGTAAACGCCACATTGAAGACCTCTGGAGCTTTATGGACCAGCAGTTTAACAACCCACACCAGAAGTCCAAAGCACTCGATCGCCTTTTAACTCTCAAACAAGGCAAGCTCTTAGTAAGAGACTATCACATGGAGTTTAACCGTCTTGAGATTCAGTCAGGCGAGCAGTTCGGCGAAGCAGCTAAGAAGAGTATGTTCTTAAAGGGCCTTCACACTAAGCTACAGGAGGCTCTTGCTACGATTGATGAGAATCTATCGTACGAGCAGCTAGTTAATAAGGCAGTAAGAACGTCTGACAACCTCTACCAGGTAGGTCTCGTTAAACTGCGCGCAACGAGCTCCTAGGTGGTAGATCGCCCTACTACGACAACCGCTTAACACGAAGCTAGTCCGGACGTTATAGACTGGGAGCCTTCGAAGGTTAATCAGGCGCGAGAGGCTAGAGGCAAGCCACGACGACCTCCGCCTGACTGCTATCGCTGCGGAGAGCTAGGTCATATCGCGAAATACTGTCGAAACGCCACCTAGGTCAAGAAGGCAAGGCCCGCGCCAAGCAACGTTGGACATAAGCCGCAGGAGGAAGTCGATCAGGTGCCGAGTAGCGAGTTGGAAAAAGAGTAGCTCTAGACCAGAGTCTTGGTCCAGAGCCTCTAAAGATGGATTGGCAGATACGTGGCGAATGGAATCAGTTTTAGCAGAAGCATATGCGTCCTCCACCAATTACTGTAGATCTTATCGTGAACAACGTGGTAAACGCTATCGCGCTTATTGACTGCGGATGCCTATGCTATGCACTGATTAGCAAGAGATTCGCTTACCGCCACCGTCTAGAGCGCTTTCAAATACCTACTCAAATGATTGAGGGGGTGAATGGCAAGCTATTGGAGATTAATGAGGTTGCCTGATTCTTGTTCAAGATGCATGGGTACGAAGAGACTGCCTACGCATATGTGATGAATTTGTCCTCTAGTGAGGATGTGTACCTTAGTAGAGGATAGATGAACCACCAGGACGTGTCAGTAGCCCCCGCTAAGAAGAGCATTTTTATCCACTTAAAGGGCATTCGAGTGAGGTTAACTAAAGGGGCTCTACTAGGAGGAGTTAGCTAAGTCAACGCTGCAGCGTTTGCGGCCCTAGTTCGCAGACATAAGAACGCTCCGAACAGCGTTCAGATCTTCGCCGCGTCGATCGCAGATATCGATAAGGCGCTACAACCCAAGAAGCCCGTAAACGTACGAGCACTACTACTAGCGCAGTATCAAGAGTTCTACGAGCTCTTTAACCCAAAAGAAGCTGAGAAGCTGCCACCGCACCAAGGGCCAGGAGTGGACCACAAGATCGAGCTGGAGCCGAGGGATGCTTGACCGCCATAGGGACCTCTTTATAGTATGTCGCGCGGAGAGCTTCTAGTCCTCCAAAAGGAGCTTACGTCACTCCTTAAGAAAGGGTTTATCCGCGTAAGCAGCTTGCCAGCCTTAGCTCTAGTATTGTTCGCTAAGAAGCCTAGGGGAGGGCTCCGACTGTGTATCGATTATCGGGCTCTAAATGCGATTACAAAGAAGGACCGGTATCCATTACCACTTATTCGAGAGACGCTCAATAGCTTAAGCAAGGCTAAGTGGTTCACGAAATTGGACGTTATCGCAGCCTTCCACAAGATCCGCGTCGCACCAGGCGATGAGTGGAAGACGGCCTTCCGTACGAGATTCGGATTGTTCAAGTGGCTAGTTACCCCCTTTGGCATGGCGAACTCCCCAAGTACCTTCCAACGATATATTAACTGGACCTTAAGAGAACACCTAGACGACTTCTGCTTAGCTTATCTAGACGACGTGCTAATCTATACTGACGGCGATCTACGCCAGCATTAAGAGCATGTCCGAAAAGTACTTAGTAAGCTATAAGCCGCAGGGTTACAAGTGGACATTAAGAAGTGCGAGTTCGAAGTTAAGACGACTAAGTACCTTAGGTTTATTATCGAAGCAGGCAAGGGGATAAGCATGGATCTAGCCAAGATAGCCGCAATTCGCGAGTGGGAGGCACTAAAGACAGTAAAGGAG